GTATACGTATATGTATGTTGCATGTGGCGTGTGTGCATGTGCGAATGCATGTGTGCATGTTTGTATGTGGTCATGTATATGTATGCATGCATGTATGTATGTCTATGAGTGGGTTTGTTTTTTTGCTCGTTTGTTTGGTTGGATTTGGGGTTCTTATGAGTCGCAGTTTGAAACATCATTGCGTAATGTGCATGGGTCATGCTTTTGACATTTTGCAGTGATGGAAGCTTCGATCGTAGATTCGTCCTTACACAAAGCAGGTTGGCAAGAACTTTTGTGAATGGGCTCGGCCGCTACAGTGGGCTGAGCACCGTGAGCATGCAAACGCTTCCTGTGCCGAGCGGTTGGTCAACTCTAATTTATGCAGGCTGCTAGGGTTCGACCGTCCAAACGGCTTTCATAAGTTCAGGCCGGATGGAAAGTACCGACGGCCTTGTTCACGCATGCGTTTTCGCAGTTTAATGTCAACTCTGAACATTGAACAGTTGTCTCACTAGTAGGTTCGCGCAGCCCTCAGCGACTTCAACTCACAGTTGGCCACACAGCCACACAGTGTCTTCGTTTCACGACGAGTGACAAGTCCATGCAGTTCTGGGGCGCATTCACAGCAGACATCTGCACAAAGCGTTGCAGCCACGTGCTTGTTTCTTACTGAGTTTCTGCGTTTGTTTGCTTGTTTGTTTGTTTTGCTTGTGCGTTTTGTTCGTTCGTTGGTTTGCTTGCTTGTTTGTTCGTTGGTTTGTGCGTTGTTTGATATGTTATGCTTGTTTTCTTGTTTGTTCCTTGTTGGTTTGTTTGTTTCTGCATGTGAATAGGGTGATCCAGCATGTTGCCATGGCCACAGGAAGGCCAATCTGGGTTGGAGTACGTGGCCTTGAACTGCCCCGAGGCGCGACAGCGCTGTTCGCTCCAAAGCCTTGTTTGGTCAATCAAAGCCATATGATATGTCTTTCGGGGTTTTCTTGCACTTACGCGACACCCAGGGCCAGTACAACCCCATCGCCTCGCTTCTGGTGGCCACATCTCACAGTGCCTGCGATGTATTGGACATGGCGACTAGCGAGGATTTGTTCTGGAGTCATGGTTGTAAGTCTTTCGGAAAAGCAGAAATGTGCTTCCCGTTGGCAGAACTAACAGCCCTCTCTTGATTCAACAACTCTCGGATCTTCTTCCTTGGCCGTCCACCTGCCAGGCTCAGTGAAGCTGCTCTTCTCTGGCAACAATGCCGGCCGGCTTCTCATCACCCGGAGGATTCACGGATAACTGTTCGATCGCAAGAAGCATCATAAGGTTCCAAAAGGCTCATTGTATTAATTATGGCACTCGTGTATTGTGCCTTTTATCCTATAACTTCTGAGCATCGCTCACCCTACTTGGAGGCCCATCTTCAACAGACAGCCGTAGAGCAGCGATGAGGGGAGAAGGGATGTACATCTTTCGGTCGTTGTTGTTTGCAGCTCAAGTTCGGCCCCAACCCAGTTTCTTGGAGGCAACACTTCAGCCGTAGACCGTGCTCCCAGTTCCCTGGCTTCCCGAAAGGGTTGCTTCCTCGAGCCCCAAGGTGAGATCCACGCGGCTTCGAGCTTTTTGGCGTTCTTGACATACAGCTCGCTGAATATAGGCCACTGGACCCAGGGCGGCAAAGTAAGTGGCTCAGGATAATGTCAAGCATCAGTAGCATTCGTCTGGTATCATCCCGTGCAAGATGACCCTGACCTACAGTTCCTCTTTGAACCAAGTTGCTAGACAGGATAGCTTGTGAATCATGTGCGAGGGGAGGGAGAAGGTGGAGACGACAACGACGACGACGACTACTACTACTTCTACTTCTACTTCTACTTCTGCTTCTACTTCTACTTCTACTTCTACTTCTACTTCTACTTCTACTTCTACTTCTACTTCTACTTCTACTTCTACTTCTACTTCTACTACTTCTACTACTTCCACTACTACTTCTACTGCTTCTTCTACTACTTCTTCTACTGCTTGTTCTACTGCTACTACCACTACTACTACTACTACTACTACTACTACTACTACTACTGCTACTGCTACTACTGCTACTACTGCTACTCTGCTACTCTGCTACTACTACTACTACTACGACGACGACGACGACTACTACTACTACTCCTGCTGCTACTAGTACTACTACTACTACTACTACTACTACTACTACTACTACTACTTCTACTTCTACTTCTACTCCTATTGCTGCAGTGCCACTGCCACTGCCACTGCCGCTGCCGCTGCCGCTGCCGCTGCCGCTGCTACTACGGCCACTAGTACTAATGCCACGCTTCTGCTATTACCATTACCACCACCTCCATCTCCACGGCCACTACCACTAAGGCAAATCCCGCCGCATCCGCTGCCGAAGGCAAATCCTCCAACAAAAACGAGTTCTGAGCTTGACAGACTCTTGACTGCTGCAAGAGTGCCCGAAGAAGCTGATACGCCGTGGTGCCTTGGAGGGAGTTCCTGACATCGTCACACCCTCTTGGTTTTCTGTGCTTCACCACCCAAGATGGAGCGCCTTCTTTGCGGCAGGCTTCGCAAACTGGGTGGGTATTCAGAGGCCACCAAAAACCGCGGCAGAAGCGTTGCGCAAGCTCCTACTGCTACTACCACTACTACTACTACTACTACTACTACTACTACTACTACTACTGCTACTGCTACTCTGCTACTACTACTACTACTACTACTACTACTACTACTGCTACTGCCACTGCCACTGCCACTGCCACTGCTACTACTACTACTACTACTACTACTACTACTGCTACTACTACTACTACTACGACTACTACTACTACTTTTACTTTTGCTACTACTTCCACCTCTTGCTGCCTGTACTTCTACTGCTGCTGCTACCTCTGCCACCGTCTTTTGTTGTTTTGCACTGGAACCGTCCTGAGATATCGTCAGTTCATCACCATAAGTATCATCGTCAGCCTTACCTTTCCGCTGCTCTTCAGCACTACAATCACTGTCGTCACCACCCTCCTCCTACTACTCCTCCTTGTGGCCGTGATAATCCTCGTTGTCGTTGACTCCGTCTCCTTGTGATGGTGCTTCGCTTTGTAACTTGTTATGGTTCATTCCAGTAGAACGTAGAAGTGCCATCATGGCGCAGGGCTGGCAGGACTTCCGGTGCCCGGTGGAGCCTTTACCGTGGCCTGGACTGTTCCTGGGTCGGGTTTCGGGCGCGGGGTGAGGCACCATGCGCGGAGTCGGTTGCCAGAGTGCTTGAAGAGTTACTTTTGGTGCTTTGGCTCTTGTCAGTTTTGGCTTTTCGGATTTCCCTTGCGTCTCCAGTGTTCGGGTTTACTGAAAAATTTGGGCTCTCGCTTCAGCACTGGGTACCAGCACGGCCTGTGAGCCCCAGCCGAAGGACTAATTTGTAAACGCTTCAGTCCCCGTCGAACGCTTGTTTTTTTGGGTGACAGGTATGGCGGAGGTTTGGAACGTGTGGCTACAGCTTTTCATTCAGTTACTTTGGGTTCAACATCAGCCTTCACAGGTTGAGCTACTTGGCTGATCTTCCTGGTGCAAGCCTTCAGTTCGGGTTGAATTTGCACTTACTTCGGCACTGAGGTTGGCAAGTGGATGGTGATGGTCATGGTGATGGTGGTTATGATGGTGGTGATGATGATGATGATGCGATGCGGATGATGCGGTTACAAGTTGAAGCCAGTCCGACAACTGTGCTAATCCGATAGTGACGATGATCATGGTGGTGATGATGATGATGGTGATAACGATGATTGCGATGCTAGTTGAAAGTGTTGATGGTCTGACGGTTGTGAAAATGGTGATCGCAACAGTGATGATCATGGTATATATCATCTGCATCATCAACAACATGGTCTGAGCCGTCATCGCCAGTGTTATTGCCGCGGCGCCACATGGTCTTGATCATCTGAAAATCGTCTGCACATAACTCTTCTTGTGTGCAAGACCCATCATCAGCATCAACGCCGCGATCTCTACCATTCCTACCGCTTAACTGATTGCCATCGCCAACACCATTAACGTCTTCTTCTTCTTCTTCAGGATCATCTGCATCATCGTCATCATCCACATCGTCATCATCACTCGCTGCAGTTCAATGAACGCAGTCGCGGGCCGCGATGGACCAGCGATTGCTCAAGGAGGTGGCCTGCGCATACCTGCGTCGGGACAGCGCCGAATCTGACGAGTGCGTACGCCTCCCACGGTTATGAAGATAGATTCGTCTTGTCGCCGTTCCCATGAGCCTGCAAGGCATGATCTCGGCTATGAACGGCCGAGTCAACCTCGCAACCACAATCTTCCCCTGAGTCGCTTGTTATTGAAGCCGTGTCGCAGTCGACATCGTCCCGAATCATGCGCTTTCCGAAATATGCGAGAGGATACTTTCCTTCGGCACCAACAGTCGGCGGGATGTCAAGACCTCTGTTGTATAAACCCATACGGTGGCGCAGCTCGCGGAGCGTGATGCTGGAGCACACGACCTTCGACTCCCAAGGTGTCGCTTGTGGACGTCAGCACGGCAAGTGCATGTAAGTTCATTTTGCTTCACAATCATGAGGATATGCTTGGCGCATTAGCCGCGGTCCCCCTCGGACGGAGCACTCGTCAGGCGCGAAGAGAGCGTCCACAACTCGAGTTGGAAGCATTTTTAGATTCTAGATCCAAAGTCGGATCATCACGGAATAGCTACTGTAGCTCGTGTAGTGGGTCAGGCACTGTCAGCAAAGACCCAGGGTGCAGTGGAATATTGATGGTGTTGGTGTTTCCGGAGAGTAGGAGTCGTGGTGATGGTAGGCGCGTGGAGATGGCGATGTTGATGACGTGGCGGTAATCATGCTCTGACAGTTGTCTTGTTGGTGGTTGTGGTAGAGGTTGCAGTGGTGATGAGGTTCGGGATGGTGATGACCATCGTGGCAAACGCAATGTTGATGACGTTAATGTCTTTCGGACCCGGCCCAAAGAGATCAGCAAACGAGGCTACCATGCTCATGGGCGGGCTCTTCGGTCGCTTCGCCGGTGCTCTTTGTGGAGACCTGGGACTGTCGACGTCAGTTTCAGGCCAGGCCCTGGTAGCAGTTTCAGCAATCATGAAGACATTTTGCCGCCCATGCCGTCGTGGTCGTCGTCACCGTCGGTAGATTTGCAGAACTACGAGCTTTGCTGCCGCTATTGCTGCTCGGCATCGCGCTCGACCCCGGACCCCGGACCCGGACATCGAGGACATGAGGAGGAAAAGCAGGAGCAGGACAGGGAGAATGAGGAATGGGAGGAATGAGCGCGATGCTGCTGACACTATGGGGCCTCTAGGATCTAGGCGGGGAAGAGGCATCCTGGTCTTCTCCAGTTTCACGCTCGCACGGCTGCTTCGGATGTCAGACCGCCGAAGCTCCAAGAACAGTTGTTATACGCCTAAACTGCAAGACTCCCTACAACTTTGCAGGGGTCTTCGCTGTCGTCGGAAGTGCCAGAGACCCAGCTTCAGGAAGAGGCCTAGCCTAGTGCATTGCACTATGCCGGAAATTCTTCAGTACAGGGACAATGCCTGTTTTCCCGGCCTTCGCCTACAAGGCTCTCTTGGTGCGAATGCGTTCGCTTCTAGTCGCAGGCGTGGCAAACCATGTCTCAGGCTGCTTTCCGTAGCAAAAGAGGCTGTCTGCCGATCCACGCCTCTGGACTGTCAACTCAAGACGGCAGTCGGCTGAGGCTGCAATGTTGTGTGGCTTCAAGCAGATGACGCTGGCCTCGGTCGGGGGCTTGCCACGGGTGCTAGCTGCTAGTATTGCAGGAGGCTGAAATGGATCTTGGCAAATGCGGACTTTCCGAACATGGCTTTCTCTGTAAATGCTTCTGTTTCCCATCACATCGTCTAAAACTTGTCTACTTCAGCTGGTGTACTATTGTCTAGATCATTCACTGAGCAACTGGCTGAAAGCATCACAATCATAATAAAGGGAAGTAAAGCAGAAAAGCTACATAATCTTCTTACCACAGGAGGGGCAGAAATAGTGACACGTTGTCAAGGATTTGTACAGGAGCAGCAAGACAGAGACTCATATCAGAGCTGTCGATGATCGGTAACTTTGCTGTCGTGGACAGCATTGATGGGAACTACAAACATGGCAGAAAGATCCGGAAGGACCGCGATGCTAATCACGACGGTACGGAGAATGCCTTTGAGTAAGTATTTTCTAGCTGTTGTCTCTGGTTTCCTGGCCAGGTTCTGATTGTTGTGGAGTGCGTCAATGACTTGAGCCGGCGCGGCTGCAAGAAGCACTTCCAGAGACCCCGGCTTAGGCTAGGCCCTTGGGTTGGGTTTCTCGAATGGAGTTCCTGTGCTGAGGGATTTGGGACCAGCCCTGTTCATGTTTGAACCTCAGGCAGAAAGGCCCTCTACGTAGTCCTCCAGAGCCCGAAGCCAACTGCAGGCTCCCACTTGGTGTACTGTTGGACTCGGAAAGCTGACGCCCAGCACTTTCAGGCCTTGCCCCCATCGTTATGCTCGGCGTGGCGGTGTCCATGGCAGTAAACTGGGCCATCAACGACCGAGGCCACGACGAGGAGGCCGCGCACGGAGGGTTTTGACGAGCTTGATCGGCCTGCGGCTGTGCACAAGATCCCAAGTGAGAAGCCTAAGCCCTTAGATGGCCCACGGAAGAGCTGAAGGACCCTGAGACTTCGGCCCTCAAACCCTCAACCATCTCAAGCCCTAAGCACCGCCGCAGGTGATTCACCGGCGCCAACTTCCCTTCCTGGAAGGAGAGCCACCGCGGGCCCTCGACGCCCAGGCCTTTCCCTTCGCGTTTGCCTGAGGGGTTGGAGCCGAACGAAGGCGTAGGCCCAGGCCTCTTCGTAGACTTCAGTGAACTTCGGAGACAATCACGGGCAACTATAGGACATCTCGCAGCTTGGGTTGGAAATGTTGGATGAATGTCTGTTCCTGTGCTTCGAGCAGCGTGGGTGGGACGTTGTACTGGAGGACTAATGGTATGTAGTGGTGATAGTTTTGTTGTTGTCGCCACCATCGGAGTCATAGTTCGGCGTCCACGATGGCGTCTTTTTTTAGTTGTCTGAATTTTCTGTTGCGATTGCTTTCTCTGGTTTGCATGTTGTTGTGTGTGCAGCCGATGTACACAAAACGGTGGTGCTCGCCGTGACTCGGGCGTACACCACGACTGTGCTGCTGAAGTGCTCAAATGTGTACGTGGAGCAGTGCAGTTGGGTGCGCTGGCATAAGTGTCGGATGGTCTGTAAGTGGACGTGTTGTTGTTTTGTGTGGTACTTGTTGGCATGTAGAAGTGTGCAGCGGCCTAGCCACAGGCAAATTTCGTGGGCTTTGCTGGAGAAGGATTCTGCTTCGGGTAATAAGTGTGACAGGGTATTGATAATGTTGGTAAGGTGTGTGGTGTGCTGCGTGAAATGTGAGTCTGCCAAATGCTGCGTATCCTGTGTCACGAGTCACTCCATGAAGTGAGCGATGATGCCGAGGACACAAATCAGGTGTGTTGTCTGTAGCTTTCGGATGTGTTGGGGTGGCAAGCCCCAAATTTCAGCGTTTTTGCGGAGTTGGTCGGTTTGTTCCGTGGTAAGATGTGGCTGTTGTCGCAAGAGCTCATCGATGTGGCTGTGGAGTTCTTGTGTCTTGTTGTCCGACATCTTCAGCGTGCCAATCCATCGTTTTATTCCGGCATCTGAGTGGGCACCCATGTAGTTCTGAGAGAACCATTGGGACGGTGCTGACGGCGTAGCAAATATATCAGGTTTTCCTGGCCTTGCTGGTGCACCTGGCAGTTGGGTTTGAATTTTGTGGCGCTTGATGGAGGAGGGTGGTGGACTGTCTGTGACAGAAATGGCGTTGGTGGGTGGTGGGGGTGTAGTGGTCGCAAAGAAGGTTGGGGAAGGTGGAATGGGTAGTGGTACAGCTGGTGATTTGTCAGTGGGTAGTGACGTAGGTGCTGGGGAGGCGGGTGGTGCGTGGCGCTTCGCCGGTGGTGTGGAGGGGGTCGGGGGTTCTTGGGTGTGTCCCTTGTCTGGGGCAAGTTGTGCTTTGGCCTCGGCCAGTTCCTGCTCGAGCTGAAGGATGCGGTGGTTGGATTGCGGGTCTGATGCTTCACCTGTGTTGCTGGGTGGATCATGGATGAGGCCACTCAGGTACTCGTAAAATTCGTCTGCAAGTGTTGACATGGCTTGTTTTCTAGTGGGGTTGGGGATGGGTGGTATTGCGCATTGGCAGTGTGCCATGGCGGCTCCGTCGAGGTCCAGCTTGCCGTGGCTGATGCGTGACATGAGTTCAGTAATGAACATCGCATGGGCGACATTGCGGGTGTATATTGGATATGTTTCCAGTCCGTGGCAAATGTTGCGGATCCAATAAGAGGTCCAGGAATGCCGTGTGATGGCAAGCACCGGTAGTGTCTCAATTGGGCAGCCCGCTATGCCCAGTCGTTCCGACCACGGTGTCCTCTTGATGATTTTTGTCAGGTCGTGTCCAAAAATGACTTTGCAGTCATGGTAATCGGGTGATGTTACAAAGTCGCTGGGGAGTGGGGGGGCTTGGAATGCGTGTGTTGTGTTGGTGCGTGCTGGCGTTAGAGCCGTAGTGTTGTGTCACGGTGGGGGTTGCGGTGGGAATGTGTGTTGGTGGCGGGTTGGTGTCGATTGGCGGGTGGCTCCAAAGCACGCGGGTTCGCCGAGGTCGCTGGGTTCTGTGTTGCTTGGTGCAGCTGTGTGGCTCTGGACAGGATGCCGCTGGGTGGCCTGTACGTGCCTCTGTGCCCTAATGGTGGTGGGGGCAGTGGCTGCATGATCAAAACTGTATGTTGTGCTAATGTGTTCTGCGTCCTTGAGCCTGCGGGTGCATCTAGCGTGACAGCGTGATGAACATGCGGACGACATGCTCACACTGCACTGCTGTAGGCGGCACGGCATGTTGTACATGCAGTCCTTCCGCGTCAATCGGAGTCCGAGTCAAACCTAAAAGAGACTCTCTTTTGGAAAAAGACTGATGGACAGTCACGGAGAAAATGACATGCACACCTATACCGCGCTCTCACAAGCATCTTAGCACAAGCGGTTGACGATGACGTTGTCCGAGTTGTTGTAGTTGTAGTCATTGTGCATGTGCTGATGTTGATCATGTTGTGTGTCTCCATCTGATATTCGTCACTGTACGCAAGAAGCATCGAGTCGCTGGATCCTTCTGGGTCGTGGCTGTGTGTTGAGGGATGTTGGTTCTTGGATTTGCTCTTCCTGCGAGCTTGCTTTGAAGTTTTGTGTGACGTCTTTTTTTATTTTTCTGTTTGTCTTTGCGGCTGTTGTTGCGTGGCTCCTTGGAGGAGCTTGCAGGAGTCCTGTGTGATGCTGCTTTGTTGCTTTTCATAGCTGATGTTGTCCCAGTCTGTTGGTGTTTTAGAAGTGTCGATGAGGACTGGCCCTGCTGCTCCAAGAAATCCCAAGCTGAGTGCCGCGACGCTGCTTCATCTGAAGCCGTGCGCCTGAGGCGTGGGGTATGGGGTGAAGGAAAGGGTTAATGCCAGGTGTGCAAAATGATGAGTGTTGCACAGCGTCGCATGCTAGTTTCATTGAAGCGGCGGCTAACGGTTGTGTCCGACTGGCAGAACAGCTTTTATTCACAGATGCCCGGCGTGGGCCCCCCAGCGTTCTGGGTTTCTGAATATGCCGCGCCGGCGGCATATGTAAGCTTCGTCTTGGACAGAGCCCCAATAGGCTTTATAGTGGGACACTGTCCCACGATATTCCCCTACCAAAATAAAGTCTTGCCTGCCCTTGGGCTTCTTCAACAATTGAGGCCGTCACCTGTAGGGACCACTCCGCTAGGGCCCCTGGTGTACCCGATCCGTACACCACATTTGCCTGTGCACGGCCTGCCTGTGGAAGGGAGCTCGGACGTATCTGTCCCTCACGAAGGATTTCGTACCCACTTTGGAAGTCTGTTCCATGGGTGAAACAAAAGGTGTGAACTGCTGGTGGGGATCGTGACCACTGTTGTGGTGTCACGGGTTCCTTGAAAGGAACCGTTTTGGACTGCAGCAGTGATGGGTCGTCCAATGGTAGTAGGAGGGCTGGGTAGATCCCGTCAATCTCGATGAACTTGAGGGGCTGTAGTCCCTGTTGATTCGGTACGCAATCCGAGGCGAGCAGCATTTGTGAAAAGGCCGTAAAATGGTCTGTGCTTTCTGAACCCGCGCATTCCCGCAGTTGATCCAAAAGGTCTTCTGCCTCCCGAATGTCGTACGGGACCAACCCGGGCCGTTGTTGGGCTGGTATTTGTGCCGCTGGCGTGATGTCTCTGCAGGGCGGCAGTTCTTTGGTGAAAACGTCGAATGGTTTGTCCTGTCGTTGCTGGGGGGGTTGCTGTGGGTTTTGCGTTGTCTTTGGTGCTGAGGTGCCGTAGCTGTTGGTGGTGGGGTTCATGGCGAAGGCAATGCGTTGGAATTGTTGTCTCAGAACTGGTGGAGGTCGGAGGACAATGCCCGGTCTGGGGGATTTGCCAGTGCTGCTGCGTGAGGGTGAGCGCGAAGGTGCGTCGGAACGTTTGTTGCGGTAGGATCTGGGTGTAAAGGTGTTGCAAGTTCGGTGGCGCTTGTGTCTGCGCGTGGGGCGGCATCTAGTGGTACTGCGGGAGTCCCTGTTTTTTTCGCGGCGCAGTCTGCGAGACTCCTTGGATGAGATGGTTTCCTACTGGTGGATCTGTCGGAAAAATGTGCCGGTGCGTTGGTGTCCTGCCCAGTTGTGGGTGCCTGGGATGAACTTAGTGGTTGCTGTAGTGTCATGGGTGGTTGTGTAGGCTGTTGTTGTGGTGCATAAGGTTGTGCGGGTGGTGAGAATTGCGAAGGCAGCGTAGTGGGTGCTGGCATTTGGACTTGTGCCGGGTTTGCGAACCCTGTTGGGGCTGGTGGTGGTGGGTACGGATGTGGCTGAGTTGTGAGACTGACGTCGTGGACTATGCAGTGCATGATTGGTTGTGTTGGTTGTGGTGGTTGAGTCGTTGTGGGAGGTGGTTGTTGTGCAGTAGTGTTGAGTGGCATGTGGCTTGTGTAAGATTGCATAGGAATGGGTTGCGGATGTTGCTGTTGTTGCATCGGTGGCATTGGCGCGGGTTGTTGCATCATTGGTACGGGTATGTGCTGATTTGCCGTCTCTAGTTGGGGAGGCATGTGAGCAGGTGTTCCTGCTTGTATCGTTGTTGTGTATCCGTAGTGCTGAGGATCGTTGGGGCTTGCTGCCACAAGCCAGGTGGATACTGCTGTGTGGCGGGGGGTTGCTGCGGGGTGCTGTGCCATCCCGCATGTCATCGAATTGAATGGAGCTCGTCGGGCGGTGTGGAGGCCCGGCCTGTCGTGGTGCATACGTGTGTATTTGCTGCTGCCCCGGTTGTTGTTATAGAGGCTGCTGTGGTTGCCCTTGTTGGTACAGCACCTGCGGTGGGTGCAACATGCTTGGATGCAGCTGTGGCTGCATCGTTTGTGTCTGCTGGACCAGCAGCTGGCCATCTTGGGCGAAAGGATTGCCCGGGTGAAGCGGAATCATTGCTGTGCTTGCTGCTGCTTGTGCAGATACAGCTAGCCCATCTGGTCATTGTGCGACGAGAAGGATGCATTAGCAATTACGTTACCCTAATGCCCTAATGCATTAGATTTCATGTCGGAACACATGCCGTCCTGTGCAAAGGCAGAATAGAGAGGAGCAAGGAAATAATGCAGGAAGGTGGCGGAGGTAACGGCGCGTGCACAGCTCACACTACAGTTACCAGGTGCACATGCCGATCTGCACATGTCTTGTTTCGACCTGGACAAGAGGGGTCCGGTCAGCTCACATGAAGCGGGCTTCGCGGACCCAGCACGGGGCCTCATGAATACGAGAGGGTCCCCGAAGGGCGTAAACGGATCCCGTTCAACGAGGACTGCCTCCGATGGAGACCACCACGGCGCCGTGACGGGAAGCCGTCGTATTACACTGAGAAAGTGTTGTCTGCACTCTCGGATGGATGTCCACAAGGAAGGTTACACTAGCTGTTGCACAACATGTAATGCAGTAGTGTCATGCACGTCATGCACATGGAGCCATTGTGCAGGACCGACTGTAGCGAACATGCAGGCTTTCACTCTAGCGTTGGTTTCTCCAGTGCCACGGGGCCCACTGACTAATCCGAAGGTACACAAGACTGATCAGGTCTTGCTTCCCACTTGCATCTACAGCTTCGTTGAGTGTGGTAGGATGTAAGTGCCACATTCCTCTGCAAATCAAATTTCCGGTACCTGCCGACATGATTTTGGCTGCATGTGAGATTGCAGGCGAGAATACGCGCAAGGGTTGTGAACCCCTCATCTCACGTACGAGAGAAGTGCACACACACACACACACATGCACAAACCACATCCTGCAGGTCGCCCTCGATCTTTGCCCCCTTCTGCCACACGATGCTGTGATGCGGCTCGGTGTACTGAGTCCGGTTGACATTCTGGGTTTATGTTTCTGTTAGTGGCCGAAAGGTCCTCGCTCATGCCCTTTCGGTCCAGACTTTCGTCAGCCTCAGTCCACTATTGCGAGATAGTGATGCTCGCATTGTCCCTACTCCAATCAGTTTTTTCGACCTCGGGTGCATCAGGGCCTTCAGGAACTTGTGGGTAATCGCGTTTGGAAATATTTGCAACGGAGCTTCAATGTAAGATGAGGCCGCCCGAGGCAACGATGCTGCAGGCGCTCCTGGAAAGACCCCGTGCTGCCAGGGTGTTTCAATCTTCAGCCCTCTGTTGCTGTCACGGTTTATCCTGGTCAGCGAATTGGTGCTCTTCTCAATGGGGTCCTTCTCCGAAAATACTAGTGCTTAGATTCAGACACCTGGAATCTGCAGATTTAGAGGTTTGCCGGCTTGTTCATCGGGGGCTGGGACCACGAGTGGTCGACGGCAGGTGCAGCGAGCCCTGGACCATCGCGATGTTCACTACTTCCCCGTTAGGGTTCCGAGCTCAGAGTTCCAACCATCGGAAAAGTTCCGAGATTCGGGGGAGCTTCAGTGTGGTTTGATCGATCAGCCCGAAGTTCCTTAATCCTGGGCCTACGCGTGCTCAGCCAGCCCCAAACCGACTTGGGTGTTTTGGTTCAACTCTTTGGGGAGATGCTCTTTTGCGGAGCAGAAGCCTTCCCAAGTAGGTGTGAAACGTTCCTGTGCCGCACTGAGTGCTTTAGGTTTGGGGGTGTTGCAGTATAGCGGCTATAGCGGTTGTGTATTCCTTAAAGGTCAGTGGTTTGTGAGCGGGCGTTCGGGAGGTTTGCACGAGAATCGATAGCTGCATGCCCTAGCCTTGCCAGTATAATTGCCGTCCCCTTCATCCTGCTTGTGCCCCTGCGCTGATCCTGCTGCTGCTGCTGCTGCTGCTGCTGCTGTTGCTGCCGCTACTGAGGCTTCTGCTGCGGCTGTTGCCATGCAGTATTACTGACTAGTACTACTGCTACTACTACTA